GTTTCATATGTCGTCTGTCACGTAAATAAAAAAGTCGATAATATTTCGCAATTTGTAGTTTAGAAAAAAATTTTTTCCAGTTACACGGCATTTAAAGATCTTTTTAGAAACAAATATTGATGGGATGGAAAAATATTTGTTTTTTGTTTTTTACTTATGTTAATGGCTTGTATATCTGTAAATGGGAACAACCTGTATAATTAAAATAAAGAAATATGTACTTTAAAGTTCGTTCTTTTATAGTATGAGAACACGTCACAAGAGGAGCAGCTGTAACTCGAGTTGGCGGGAAGTAAATAGTTTCGGATCTATAAAACCTTTTCCTTTTATTAATCTGTGAGTGAACCTGTCAACTTATTTATAAGGTTAGGTCGTTGTTAGGTGTTGGTGGTGTATTTTTGGTTGATCAATGTTTGGGTTGATGATTTGGGTTTTTTGTTTTAGTAGAATAGTTTACAATTAGTAATGATCAAGCAAAAAATACTTTGCGATACATAGTTGGATATATTGTGACGTGCCAGATATTAGATCACAAGTATTTTTTATTTTGTAAATATTGCTTAATGAAAATATTTTTATCTTCTGTTTTCAGCAGCCAAAATGGAAACTGTTGATATACAAGCAATGGAATCAAAATTGAGCGATGTTACAGTTACTGCCATTCCAGCTCTTTCCCAAAAAGTGAATCACAGTCAAACAACAATCGCCAATAAACAAGATCCTGGTCAATCTAAATATGCTCAACTTTTAGGTGTAATTGAAGAAATGGGTAGAGAAGTTCGTCCAACTTATGCGGGCAGTAGAAGTTCTGCTGAGCGGTTGAAACGTAATATTGTTTCTGCCAGGATATTAGTGCGTGAATGTTTAATTGAAACTGAGAGAAGTGCTAGGCAATAATAAATTATGAAGTCCTGATATATTTTATATATACCACTTTTGTCAACATTTAGTAATAACAGTATACCACCATCCAAAGAAAGAGTAATCGTTAATGTGATATTACAAAATAACTTTCCACATGAAGTTTACCACTTTTCAAATGTGATAGTACTTCCAAATATAGGAATATGTATGATTCAGGTATCCATAGTACAAACAAATATAGTAAGTAATAAATCAATAAAAGTTATAATTGTAAACAAATGTAAATTCTGATTTTTATATTGAACATTCCATTCACCATATTTTTATACACAATAATTCGATTTTATATGGCAAATAAATGAATCTATCTCTTAATCAGCACATTTAAATTTTTACTTTGTTTTAAGTTTCATGTCTCAAGAAATATAATGTATCTATGTCAATTTTATACTAGTTAGATTATAACAATTTTTCTTTGTAATGAAAATGCTAATTTTAACTAATGTCTTTGTTGAAATACATTTTTCTCTTGTAATATTCTGCATTCTTATCATTATTACTCTTAATTTAGTGTGTAAAGTGGATTTTCTTTAATGTAAGAACTTATTAATAAACCTTCATAATATGCTGCTTTTTTTTACCCCAATTATACATAATATTTTATCATACGGGCCAATACAACAAAAGGTTTTAAGTATTAACTTGACTGTTAAAGTAGATAGTTTCTCTTTAACATCAAATACATTTTTATATTTCCAAATAAAAAAAAAATTGTAAGTATTCCATGGCTAGAAATTGGCCTCAATGATTTGGGATCGAGGGGGATTATTCCTCTTTATCCTGCCTCATCTCGTGTAGGCCTGAACAGCCTTCGTAGGTGGGCCCCATCCGTCATCTACCCCGACCTACGAGACTTACAATACACAAACGCTACACAGACAATAAGACAAAACGCGGAGAAACGATTTGACGTAGCCGCTAGACATGACAATCCCCTCCTCAGCCGAGCCGTTGACTACGTACCCGATGTGACCGACAAACACAAAAGACCTAGACACCAACTTTTTGACCCTGGGTGACCACCCCAATGAC